GGCTCAAGTGGTAGTGCTAGCCTTGAGCTGAAGAGCTGAGGGACAGCGCCCAGGCCAGAGTTCAGGCCCACGACCGGACCCAAAAAAAAAAGAACTCAGGGACAGAGCCTAGGCCCTGAGTTCAAGCTCCGTAACCAATAACAACAATAACAAAAAGCTAGTGACCCCAGTGTATCAAGCTGGGAAACAGATACTTCAATAGAAGAAATTGAACATAAGGACATTGCTACTTTGACGGAGGAGAGACTGAAAAGCAGAAACTAGACTGATAACAAAACAGGAGATGAGCAAGAGTTCTACTACCAAGCTATACCTAACCATTGCTTTCGTTGTTGGTTGGTTTGTTTGTTTTAAAGACAGTAATACGGGCTTGAGCTCAGGGCCTGAGCACTGTCCCTTGGCTTGTTCCACTCAAGACTGGTACTTTACCACTTAAGCCACACTGCTGCTTCTGGCTTTTTGCTGGTACACTGGAGATAAGTGTCTCTGGGAATGTGGCTTAGTGGTAGAGTGCTTGCCTAGCATGCATGAAGTTCTGGGTTCAATTCCACAGTACCACATAAACAGAAAAGGCTGGAAGTGGCCCTGTGGCTCAAGTGGTAAAGTGCCAGCCTTAAGCACAGAGAGGCTCAGGGACAGTGCCCAGGCCCTGAGTTCAAGCTTTAGGACTAGCAAAAAAAAAAAAAAAAAAAGTAAATAAAAGAGTCTCTGGGACTTTCATGCTGTCCCCTCCGTCTCTCCTGAGCATCTCCCCCCCCCCCTGCAAGTTGCCATTTGCACCAGGTCGGAGCTGGAGGATTTTCTGAGTGAAGCTGTATGCATGAAAGAGTTTGACCACCCCAACGTCATGAAGCTCATCGGTAAGGGAGAGGAGGGTAGGAGAGAGGGAGAGAGGGAGGAGAGATAGGGAGGAAGGGAAGGAGGTGGGGGAGCCAACCATTCCAATGTGGCCCCATACCAGAAGGCAGACACCCCCCACATCACTTTCCCTGTAGTAATAGATCCATCAAATGCCCAGGCTCCCTGCTGCTCCCCCACCCTTCGGGACCCAAGAGCTCCCCTTCCTTTTCTCTTTCGGTTTGGAATGTGACCTCTGACCCTTCCCCAAAAATAGCCCTCCCTGGAGAATCTCCGGAAAAGTCCCTGGGAAATGAAGGCCTCAGACTTCCAATCCTGGCTACTGACCCCCTTCCCCCAAACCATGTAGCAGCTAGATTTGAGGGCTTGGCGAGGGGGAGGGGCTGGGCTCCCCTTCTTCCCAGCTGGAATGACCCCACTGCCCCGTTGTGGGGGGGGGTCCCCTCAGGGGTCTGTTTCCAGGGCTCAGAACGAGAGGGCTTTCCAGAACCCGTGGTCATCTTACCTTTTATGAAGCATGGAGATTTGCACAGTTTCCTCCTTTATTCCCGGCTTGGGGACCAGCCAGTGGTGAGAGGACATTTCTCATCCTGTATGCAAGTTATTAATTGAGCATCTATCAGGTACCCAACACTGTCACATACAGTGAAGGTTACCATGACCTTGAACTTGCTTTCTTAGTGTAAGGCTTCCTGGGAGGGAACCAGGAAATAAACAAACTAACAAATATGTAAACTGGGCAATTAAAGGGCTAGAAAGGAAACCGGACTGATGATAAGGATGCAGGGAGATTCTAGGCATAAAGATTTTAAAGCGGAATGGGGTGGGAGGGGGCATTTCCTGCCAAGGGTATACAGAGATTCAGGCTGGAAAAATCTCCATGAAATCACAGAATGTGGGCGCTAAGGCTGGCTTGTCTAAAGACCCAAAATGAGAGCTGGAAATGTGGCTTTGTGATAGAGTGCTTGCTTTGCATGCATGAAGCCCTGGGTTCAATTCCTCAGTAGTGCACACACAGAAAAAGCCGGAAGTGGTGCTGTGGCTCAAGTGGCAGAATACTAGCTTTGAGCAAAAGAAGCTCAGGAACAGTGCCCAGGCCTTGAGTTCAAACCCCAAGACTGGCAAAAAAAAATGGAGCCCCCTGGTGTGTAACCAGTGACAGAGGAAGACAGGATTATATCATATAAAATATTGTGGGTTCCCTGTGGGGCACCTGTGGCCCAAGCTGATCATCCTAGCTACTCAGGAGGCTGCAATCTGAGGAGGACCCAGGCTTGAAGTCAGCCAGGGCAGGAAAGTCTGAGACTCTTATCTCCAATGAACCATCAGAATACCAGAAGTGGTGCTGTGGCTCAAAGCACTGGAGTGTTAGCCTGGGACACAAAAAGCTCAGGGACAGCTTCCTATGTTCAAGCTCCATGGTCAACTGTTGGCTACAGAAAGGGGTTGGAGGGGCTGGGAAGGTGGCTCAGTGGTAGAGCACTTGCCTTGCATGCTCGAGGCCCTGGGTTCGATTCCTTAGCACCACATAAGCAAAAAAAAAAAAAAAGAAAGAAAGAAAGCCGGAAGTGGCGCTGTGGCTCAAGTGGTAGAGCGCTAGCCTTGAGCTGAAGAGCTGAGGGACAGCGCCCAGGCCCAGAGTTCAGGCCCCACAACCGGACCCAAAAAAAAAAAAAAAGAAAGGGGTTGGAGTTCATAGCAAAGCCTGGGAAATCATGACAAGCAGAACAGCACTAGCCCAGGAAGGGAAAGAGGAAGAACTTTGGGGTTCTTCCTCTGCTGACTCCTCTCCCTCCTGTTGCCCCCCCCCAGTTCTTGCCCACTCAAATGTTGGTGAAGTTCATGGCAGACATCGCCAGTGGCATGGAATACCTGAGTACCAAAAGATTCATACACCGAGACCTGGCTGCCAGGAACTGTATGTGAGTGTGTTATACTGCCATTCTGTCCAGGCTGGCTTTGAACTGTGATCCCCAGATCTCAGCCTCCTGGGTAGCTAGGATTAGAGCCTTGAACCACCAGTGCCTGGCTTTTTTTCCCCCCATATTTCCTAATCTATTCTATTTTTTTCCCTTAACTCTCTCTCTCCCTTATCTCCCCGAACCCCTCTCCTTTTTTAGTTATATTTCAAATAGAGTCTCATATCATGTTTTTGCCTGGGCTAGAATGACAGGCATGGCCAGCCTTCTTGGTTGAGATAGTGTCTTGCTAACTTTTTTTTTTTTTCATGGCCCAGCTTGTAACTTTGAACCTCTGCATCTCCACCTCCCTCAATAGCTGGAATTACAGGCATAAGCCACTGCACCCAGCAAGAAAACTCATGAGTAAAACCCAAAATTCTTAGGAGAAGCTTAGAAGCTGGCAAAAAGTGAAAGCTGAGCTGGTTCATTGAAGACTAATACCCATTTTCTTGTTATAAGAGGGAACAAAAAGCTGGGCACCGGTGGCTCATGCCTGTCATCCTAGCTACTCAGGAGGCTGAAATCTGTGGATCAAGGTTCAAAGCCAGCCTGGGCAGGAAAGTCTGTGAGACTCTTACCTCCAATTAACCACCTGAAAACTGGAAGTGGTGCTGTGGTTCAAAGTACTAGAGCTCTAGCCTTGAGCAAAAAAAAAATCCAGGACAGTGCCCAGACCCTTAGTTCAAGCCCCATGACCGAATTTCCCCCATCCCTTCCCCCCCCTGCAAAAAAGTGAAGCAGTCTCCTTAGGGACTGGGGTGAGGGTACAGAAGACAGACACCCTCCCATCACCCCCCACCCCTGCTCCATCCAATTCCAGGCAGGGCAGTGAAGGTGGGGGGGGGGGGGGGGGGTATATGTGAAAATCTGGGCTGGCTTCCTGGTAGAGGAGGCTGATGGCCTCTCTCCCTCATGTGGACAGGCTGAACGAGAACATGTCCGTGTGCGTGGCAGACTTTGGGCTCTCAAAGAAGATCTACAATGGAGATTACTATCGCCAGGGACGCATTGCCAAAATGCCAGTCAAATGGATCGCCATCGAGAGTCTGGCAGACCGCGTCTACACCAGCAAGAGTGATGTGGTTTGTGGGGGCTGGCGGGGAGGAAGGACACATGGTGGGAGGTGATGACTACATCTCCCAGCTGTCAAGGTCAAGGCCCCTCTGATCTAGCTAGGGCAAAGCCTCTATGCATTTGTTAGGGATGTGTCCAAACTCGTGCATGCATGGTGGCAGCAGCATGGCTGGCAGGTGCACACGGCCCCACTACCATAACGTGTACATCCTGCAGGATTGGATATATGTGTGCATCAGCATGCCCTGCCCATGCAGATCCCACAGGACCAGCTGGGAACATGCGTGCAGGGATCACACGTGTACCTCTGGACCTGTGTGTTTGGGGGTGGCTTTGTGCAGCAGAAGCCCCTCTAATTCCCTTCCCTCTGTTCCGCTTAGTGGTCCTTTGGGGTCACAATGTGGGAGATCGCCACCCGAGGCCAAACCCCATATCCAGGAGTGGAGAACAGTGAGATTTATGACTACCTGCGCCAGGGGAACCGCCTGAAGCAGCCCGTGGACTGCCTGGATGGCCTGTGAGGACCCTCAGGGCCCCTTTTGGGGGCCCCACCCCCAAAATGCACTGCACACCCCCTGAACCACTGCACAAAGCCCCAACATCTCCTGAGCCCTGTAAAATACTGCTCAGAGACAGGTACTGTGGCTCATGCCTGTCATCCTAGCTCCTCAGGAAGCTGAGATCTGAGGATCATTCAAAGCCAGCCCAGGCAGGAAAGTCTGTGAGAGTCTTATCTTCCACTGATCACTAAAAATAAATAAATGAAGCCAGAAGTGGAGCTGTGGCTCAAGTGGTAGAGTACCAGCCTTGAGCACAAAAGCTTAGAGACAAGACCCTGAATTCAAGCTCTGGGACTGGAAATAGAACTTCCCAAATCCCCATAGGTACCCTCAAATTGAAGTTTCAGAATGTCCCCCCACTTTCCTGAACCTCAGTCTCCCACCTTTCTTTAGGTATGCCTTGATGTTCCGGTGCTGGGAATTGAACCCCAGAGACCGACCAAGCTTTTCAGAACTGCGGGAAGACTTGGAGAACACACTGAAAGCCCTGCCCCCAGCCCAAGAGCCTGAGGAAATCCTCTACGTCAACATGGACGAGGGTGGGGGTCACCCAGAACCACTGGGAGCAGCTGGAGGAGCCGAACCCCCAGCCCAGCCTGACCCTAAGGATTCTTGTAGCTGCCTCACGGCAGCTGAGATCCATCCTGCTGGACGCTATGTCCTCTGCCCTTCGACAAGTCCTGGACCCTCTCTGTCTGCTGATAGGAGGTCCCCGGCACCCCCAGGGCAGGAAGATGGTGCCTGAAAACAACCCTCTACCAGGGAGACTCCCTCTCAGGACCCAAGCTAGGCACTGCCACTGGGGGGCACCTCCTCCTTGCCCCCCCCCACTTTCCCACTCTAGGTCTGGTCTCCTCCATGCCGGATAGATTTGCTTCGCCTTTTCTGTGCCTTACCATTCCCCTCCCTGCCAGGAAGGGGCTGGACTGCAATCTCTCCAAGGGTTCTTTCCCAGGTCTCACAGTCTAGAATATTGTAGATCCTGAGGCTTAAGGAGTCTAGAGTTGGTTCTTCTGAGGGCCTGAAATTCTAAAGTCCCTGATTCTCAAAATGTTAAAGGTTCTAGATATGGAGATTTTAAGGCCCACTGGTTCAAAGGTTCTCAGATTTGGTGGCTCTAGATTTTTCTAGTTGTCAAATTCTTTATAAAAGGCCCAAGATTCCAAGTTCTAAAGTCCCTAGATTCTTCTAGGACCTAAGGCTTTATTGTTCTTGATTCTTCTAAAGTTCTGAATTCTGGGGTGCCTTAGGAATCTAGGTTCTATGATCCTAAAGATTTTATCATTGTAAACATGGAGGTCCTAAGGCCAATTATTTAAAATTTTTGACGTTAAGGCTCTGGGTTTAGATTTTCTGGCTGAAAGACTCTAGATCATAAGGCTCCAAAACCTTATCTTTTTTCTCAAGTTCTAAGCTTCTAATGGTCAGTTATAGTCTCTGAGGCTTTATAACCATAGATTCTCTTCTATGTGATCCTGGGTCTAAGAATCGAAGATTCTAGTTGCTGTTCAGAAACTCTAAGAGAAGAAAGATAGATGGTTCTAAGATATAATGTTCTAAGATGTGACATTCTAAAGCCTAGTCTAAGAAGCTAGCTTCCTTGGGTTTAAGATTCTAGATCAGATGCTTAAAGGTTCTAGATGATTATGCTGTTAAGATTCTAATGTTGGCCTGTTTTATGTTTCCAGGCACTGCATGGTCTATAGTTACAAAATTGTGGGTCCTATACATCTAAGATGCTTACTTGTCACTAATCAGACACCAGAGTTAATCATCTTTAATATTGGAGACCCTCAGGTCCTCTAAGCTGCATTCCTCTTATTTAAGACAATACTCAAAGGTCCAAGAATACACATTTCTATCAGCACTGTAGTTTAAGGTTTATATGTTCAGATGTGGATCTGTAGCTCAAAGTGGTAGAGTGCTAGCCTTGAGAGAAAAAAATTAAAAAAAAAATTCAGGGACAGTGCTCAGGCACTGAGTTCAAGTCCCATGACAAAAAAAAAAATTGGGGCTGGGAAGGTGGCTCAGTGGTAGAGCGCTTGCCTTGCATGCCTGAGGCCCTGGGTCCAATTCCTCAGCACCATATAAGCAAAAAGAAAAAAGCCGGAAGTGGTGCTGTGACTCAAGTGGGAGAGCGCTAGCCTTGAGCTGAAGAGCTGAAGGACAGCGCCCAGGCCCAGAGTTCAGGTCCCACGACCAGACCCAAAAAAAACAATTTGGAAGCCAGGCATGGGTGGCTCATGTGTGTCATCCTAGCTACTTAGGAGGCTCAGATCTGAGGAAAATGATTCAAAGCCAGCCAAGGCAGAAAAGTCAATGAGACTCTTATCTCCAATGAACCTCTAGAAAACCGGAAGTAGAGCTGTGGCTCAAAGTGATAGAGCACTAGCCTTGAGCAAGAGAGCTCAGGAACAGCACCACCCAGGTCCTGAGTTTAAGCCCCACAGCCAGGAAAAAAGATTTAGATGTTCTAAAATTGTAAGGGACCACAAGTCTGGGACATCGGTATGATCCCGAAGTTATAACTTTGTAATATTCCTCTGTGTGCTAGGTATGCTTTCCCTTTCCCTCATCTTGGGGGTGTGTCCCCCTCAAGCCTGTGCAATGCATTAGGGATGCTACCTTTCCCCCCAGGGAATGGACCATCTCTCTTCTTTGGGGCCATGCTGCCCCCTTGAGCCAGTCCCTCATCCTTGGTCTACAGAATGTGGACTCAGGGTGCCTCCACAGGGCCTTATAAAAACAATGTCAATCACTGCTTTTGTCTCTTGTTTCCATTCACCATGATTTGTCCCCTTCCTGGCAATTCTGTTTCCCCCAGGGTAAAAAGAAGGATTGGTAGCCGGGCGCTGGTGGCTCACACCTGTAATCCTAGCTACTCAGGAGGCTGAGATCTGAGGAGCATGGTTCAAAGCCAGCCCAGGCAGGAAAGACCGCGAGACTCCTATCTCCAATAAACCACCAGAAAACCGGAAGTGGCGCTGTAGCTCAAGTGGTAGAGCGCTCGCCTTGAGCTGAAGAGCTGAGGGACAGCACCCAGGCCCAGAGTTCAAGCCCCACGACCAACAAAAAAAAAAAAAAGGATTGGTGAGCCAGGCACTGGTATCTGTTCATGACTTCATCCCAGCTACTCTGGAAGCTGTGATCTGAGCGAGGATTTGGGTTCAGAGCCAGCCCAGCTAGGAAAATCCATGAAATGTCTCTTTTCCAATTAACTAGCAAAAGGCTGGAAGTGGAGGTGTGGGTCAAGTGGTAGAGTTCCAGCCTTGAACAACAAAAAAAAGTGAAATCCTGAGGTCCTGAGTTCAAATCCTCATACCATCAACCCCCCCCACACACACCCACACCCCCCAATGAAGAAGGGTTGTGGTAGTGCATGTCTGTAATCCCAAGTGCTTGGGCAGGCTGAAGTATGAGAATATTCAATTTGAGGTCATCCTTGGCTACAGAGCCAAATCTTATCTCATTAAAAAAAAATAGAATACAATGTAGAAAGAAGATTTGGTGGGTCTGGGAATTCTCCTCATTGAAGAGGATAGAAATAAACATAATAAACAAAAGGGAGCAAGGAAAGCACAAGGCTTTCAAAAACCCCTTGTGAGGAATATTCTTGTAGATTCAGGATCCTAGGGATATCTACATACCCTTCAATTAGGAGACACGCTCAGGAACACTTGGCCACAAAGACACATCTAGTAAGAGAGACTGGCAAAAATCACACAGAAGACATTTTACAGTCATGCACGGGGGCAGGTACCCACCAAGAACAGCAAGAAATCAGAGTAAATCACTGACACATGAAGACACCAACAGGTCCTCAACACACCCCCAACCCGTGCAGACTCTCATGGAGACTACAGGCACCAGAACATCTCGATCCACAGATTCACAAAGGGACTTCCTCCAAGATCAGGCCTTCTGGATCTCCACCAAGAGCCCTGGCTGCCACTTGTTCCTTGGGTGGGTCTGGTTTACAGATGGAGGAAAAATCCTAGGCAGCGCCCGGACGCCCTCTGCTGGTGATTCTCAAGAACAGTATAAGCCCAGCTACAAAAAAAGTTTTGTTTTGGAAGCAATCTTTTGTGGGGAGCAGGGAGGGGAGAGGAAGTCGGGCGTGAGTGAGGGGCGGGGTGTCTGGACTGGAACCTCGGGGCCCACGTGAGTGTCTTGTCCTGCCGCTGAGTGGGTGCCGCATAAAAGGTCAAAGTGAGGTTTGTCTGGCCTTGCACATCTGGGGGGCAGAAGAGGCTTTATCTGGATCGCAGGATATCATATGACTGCTATTGGTTTATCGTGGGCTGTGGATAACTTTTTATGTCCTGATCTTGAACTCGGGAACTGGGCACTGTCCCTGAGGCTTTTTTTCTGCTCCAGGCTACTTAGGGCTCTACCACTTGAGTCACAGCTCCACTTCAGGCTTTTTGGTGGTTCACTGGCGATGAGTCTCACAGACATTCCTGCCCCAGGCTGGCTTTGAACCTACGGTCCTCATATACCAGCCTCCCGAGTAGCTAAGATGACAGATGTGAGCCACCGGTGCTCAGCAGCTATGTGTCTTTTGTGGGTGTCTGCACCGTGCATCCTGATCGTACATCTCAGTGAAGCTCTGTCTTCTGAGTTAAGATGCGGACAGGATTGAAGACCTTGTGACACAGTCACAGTTCCCTGTGTTGGTACAGACGCCAAATAGGCAGAATAGATTTGAGGATTTCGGGAGGTGGGGTGGTGGAAATCTACAAACTTCTGGAGCTCCTGGAGGGCAAAACTGTTTATGTTCGCGTGCAGAGCGGCCGTCCACTACGGGCAGAGATGCCAGGATCGTGGGAAGAGCGCCCCGTGAGCAGGAAAGGCGGGATGGGGGGGGGGAGGACAGACTGCGACTTGCTGTGCAACTTTTTTCTCGTTCTGAGTCTAAGCCCCGTTTGCAGCCCTTCAACACTCTCTAAAATGGAAAAGTTTTGTTTTTTTTTTAACATGGAAGCAATTGAGTTTCTAACCGATACTAGGTAGTACCACGACTTACAACTCAACTCCCTATATTTTCCAGTGGAGATTAATGAGGGAAAGAAAAAAAAAAGTCGTCTGCAGAATGGCCAATACCGTTAGCTTTTTCTAAAGAGAGCACGATAAACCCGCTTTAGTGAGATAAAACCAGAGCTGTGATTGGTAGACCGCTTGTTTTGAAACCGCCCTAACGGCAAGGGGCGGGCCATCTGTGAATTCATCTCTAGTTCCGGTTTCTTAAAGACAACAGGAAAGAGAGGTTTTGACGGACTTTCCTCCTCCCTCTCCCCCCCCCACTCCCACACACACTCGTCCTGCCACGCCCCATCCAGCCCCGCGATTTGATTGGTGCTAGTGATTTTACCCGCTCAGACTTCTCAAGGGGCGGGAGATCTACACCAATCAGAATGGGTGTTACAGAGACACTTTAAGCGGGATGAAAGGATGGGGTAGGAAAGGCCATGTGGGGGGGGTAGAGGGAGGGTGGCGCTCATTCTGAAATCTCATTTCCAATTGGTCCAAATCATTACTCCCTTTCCCTCATTTGACCTTCAGGAAGCTGGCGCGTGGACGCTACCCAATCAGCATGCACTCCGCCTCCTGCTTTTTCCCGCCCTCCGCTCCGGGCCGCGGCTTCGACGTAGGCCAACGCTTCCTCTTCGGCAACTCTAAAAGCCCTTCCGCTGTTATTTATTCTGAAAGCCACAGTTTGATTGGCTGAACCTCCCGGTCCGCGCCCGTTGCCCTCGCGCACCGGCCAATTGGCACTTGTGTTGCATCCTCCCGGGGCACGGACGAGGGGGGGAGGCGGCGGCCATCTTGAGCCGCTGCCGCCATTGGAGTGCCCCCCCCTTTCTCCCCCCCTTTTGCCTCTTGACAGGAAAGGTTTAAGGGGGGAATCGAACCCTGGGAGGCCGGGCCGGGCTCGGGGGCCGCCCCGGGGGGCCCGGGCCATGGATGTACGTCGTCTGAAGGTGAACGAACTTCGCGAGGAACTGCAGCGCCGCGGCCTGGACACTCGCGGCCTCAAGGCCGAGCTTGCTGAGCGGCTACAGGCGGCGCTGGAGGCCGAGGAGCCCGACGACGAGCGGGAACTCGAGGCCGACGACGAACCGGGGCCGCCCCCCGGGCACCACAACGAGGAGGTCGAGACCGAGGGGGGCTCCGAGCTGGAGGGGACCGCGCAGCCACCGCCGCCCGGGCTGCAGCCGCACCCGGAGCCCGGCGGCTACTCGGGGCCGGATGGACATTGTGAGAGTGCGCGGGGCGGGGGGCGGGAGGCCCGGAGTCCGGGGGACGCGGGAGTCCGGCGCCGGAGGTCGGGGAGACGGTCTCGAGCTTCGAGGGATCGAGCCCGACACCCACCGCTTGGGGAAACGAAAAAACAAGAATCAGGGGACCTGGGCCTCGGGGAACGAGCGGGCGGACCGAGGGCATTGGGTGCGGTGGTGGTGGTGATGGGGGGAATCCGAGATGGGAAGAGTGGGGGGTGTCTCTGGATATCCTACATGCTCGGGACCCTGGGAGGTCCAGAGACCGGAAACTGCTGTTTCTGGAGCTGGAGAAAGTCGGAAGAACTACAGACCTTTTTTCTTCTTCTTCCTCTTTTTTAGGGGGTCCAAAAAAAGGGCTCTTGGACGTGGCAGTCTTAAGTTTGGGGTGCGCTGATTTGGGAGGGGGGAACCTTGTTTCCCTGGGGTCGTTCGGGAAGGGAGAGTTTTCGAAGGTTCCTCGAGTTTGCAGGCCGGAGGGAGTTAACCGGGGATTGTGCGCTTTGGGGTTCTGGGGTGGGTTTGGCGAGGTTGTCGGTGGTTGTAGGGGGCAGAGCGCTCTTCGTGTAAGGCTGGTGATGCATTTGGGGGGGGGTGTTTGCAATAGGGACTGTGATTGGACTGTGCGGAACCCGCATCTCTCTTCCAGGGCGATGGGGGGCGGGGAG